GATACTCGAAACCACAAGTAAAACAAACTGAGTATCAAAGGATACTCGAAACTACAAGTAAAACAAACTGAGTATCAAAGGATACTCGAAACCACAAGTAAAACAAACTGAGTATCAAAGAATACTCGAAACCACAAGTAAAACAAAACATAAACCAATCCCTTGAACCGAACGGACTGAACTCCAGTTCCGGTTACAGCTAAGGTAGGATGGCGGTTTAGGAACCGGGTTATCCAGTTCTTCCCTAGAGTACGATCATTCACCCGCCGGGAAACCATCGCCTCTGCCATAGCCTTTACCATACCCAATCGCCCTGGATGTCCCCACTCATCCAAGCGCTCACACCACCGTACTATTGAATTTTTTTCATATTCCGTCACTACTACCATCTTGAGATGCCCAGTCTCCCGAGAAACTCGGCCATGCAGCCTTCCCCGCAATGTTGAGTAGGGAACGTCTTGCTTCTCTGCCGAAGCCCAAATGGAGGGGTTATCGCTATGCCGGTAGTGGTTGATAGCCTTCTCAATCCTCACCTCTGCCTCGTTCCGCTTCCTTGGCTTAATTACTGGCATCGTGCGAAATTTGGAGACCTTTTGTCAATATTAGCGATGGCTACTTGGTTCACAAACGAAAGTGGGGTAGGTATCTATGCCTGGCTTGGCGCTGAGCCACATCCCTGCGAAGAGCCGCATGACGGTAAATCACGTTACTGTATGGGAACAACTTGAAGGATTTTTACATACAGGGAAACGTGTTTTTTTTGGCGTTTTTTGGATGTGAGAAAAAAGTTGGGCGACACCCGGAATAGGCTGAGACACCCTGGATAGGTTGGTAAACTCTTAGATTTGTGCTTCAGCGCCCCACTTACCCTTGCACATGCCAGGGACTTGTGGGGTAAGCATAAGTTAATATCAAATTTATTATGAACTACTCTATTTGAGCTTTGCCATAACATAAGTCTATCGAAATGGAAAAGGTAAATTACTTTGTTTAACCGCCTTTTTGGTTTTTATGCTGCTACTGGACTAATATATGCAGAAAAGTGTCTCCACCGCACTCCTCCGGATGTTGGTCACACACCTCATCCCTTCGTTTGATTTCACCACTTCACTCGCTTTTGGTAATAGCAAGGCTAAGACGCGATACCGGACGGGATATTCCTCAAACTACAATCCCTCACCTTGCTGCCGAAATTCAGAGCTGTGTAGCGCTAGTGATTCTTGGCCGACAGGTAGGATTTTTCCACTGGGATGGAGATGTGGGTCATCCTGGAGAGCACACAGACAATCTCGTTTCTGTCATGGCCATGCTAATCAGTACTTTAAGGTGGTGTTAGGCTCAGAATACGCAAACCAAGTACCTCTCACCATGGCCATGATCAGAGCAAGATCCTCTGCGCACATTCAATCATAAATGTCCCAGTAGGCGAGCACTCAAGAGTCTACTATCCTCATTTCTTCCTGAGTCATACCCATCTCTACTTACTGCTTACCCTCTAGTGTTTTCTGATCCCTGTGCTAATGCAACGCTAAAAAACGATGGAATTCGGCATCAAACGAAGGGATACTTGGCTGGCTGAGAATAGTGGTCAATATCTAATACAAACTGGCAACTCATATTTTCGAGTACCTCTTGCCTGGGACGAGTACCTGTGCCGGTAACTGAAAGGCGAAGACCGGAGTATATATAAATTACTATGAGGTCATCCCCCTTCCCTTCCATCAATCACCGCACATATCCACTCTCCTCCATACATGTCTCCCTCTCCCTTGCGTACCGGTACTCCCGTACTATCAAAGGAGAGACATGCTTCCCATCATTCACAGCCTCCACGTATCTGGTGCTCCTAGATTCCTTCCGACCCTCCTAGCATCTGGCTGCCGGATGCCTCAATCTTTTTAAATGGTGATGACTAAAGTGACGAAGTACAGCGACCCTTTCCCGGTACAAGATACGACTTCGATCGCATAGTATGACCTGGGGTGAGTGGTAAGGTTCTCCTTTCGCATAACCTAGCTAACTAATGGTAAAGGTAGGAGATTTAAGGCATAACGAGGTAACCCTCTGATCCTTCCAACCACCACCACATATACCTGTTCTTCGCCAGGTATCTCTTTCCACTTTTGTATTCCCATGCTAATCTTGGAACTCATAGCTGCTCGATATGCTTTCTATGGCTGTGGTTACTCGTCGCTAGAAATCATGGAAGCCATCGGAAGGAAGGAACCTGGACTGGAGGCTAGGTAGGAAGCAGTGGGAACTCTTTGAGAAGCTTGGCCTGTGTTAGCTTGGGAGTACGGAAGAGGGAAGGTGGGAATAGAATGGATATGTGTAGTGACTGGTGGAAGGACCGGGGAGTGACGTTTTGTTTCTTATATACTCCTGTCTTTTCCGTTAGTTAACCATGTGCGAAACAGATATCTCGCTTCCTCACCTAAAAGACTTGCGTTATCGCCGTGTCTTGTATTAAACCGCTGCCGTTCCATCGTCACCCGTATCTTCGTCCTATTTCGCTGCTCAAGCCGTTGCTATTTAAAAGCTAACAAAAGAAAGGAATTATTCACAAAGAGCTCCCGCTGTTCATAGCCTCGGCGCATCCCACGCTCCAAACTTTCCTCCGACGGCTTCCTTCTGACAGCCTCTTTCTTTTGTACAGCGGGATTCTAGAAACAAAAATCCGACTTCGGTGAAGACCATAACACGATGAACAAAATATGGTGGTTGGGGTAGGACTTGGGTGAGGTAGAAAGGTCTCAATTTTGGGCACTTGAGCTAAACTAATGGTAAAGCGAGGAGCATATAAAACCGTAAAAAAAACATCCTCCGATCCTTCCACACATCCATTCTCTCTCCCCCACCTGCATACTCCCGTGCTAACGAAAGCAAGACGGGGCCGTAGAAAGAACTCCAGCTCCTCCACATCAGACTCTTCGCTTTCCTTCCGACAAATGTACCAGTCCCTACAAGGGACTACTATCGCCTCCACGCATCCGACTCTTCTGCCTTCCTCCTGAGGCTCCCAGCTACCTCACGATACACCCGGCTTCCTCCGGAAAATTTCCCTCTTTCAAACTCCCCTCCGATACCACTACTACCCGTCCAAGCTCCCAGAGACAAAGGGCTTTTCTTCCAAAAAAGTGGGCGACATCTTCAGGCGATAATAACAGGTAATGATAACTATAGCGTAAACGATAGTAAGCATGCTGAGCCGCATCTCTTGACTTCCAACACTATCTGCCGTCTTCCTTCCCACGGATCAATGAATCCCAAGCACGTGGCCGAACCCTTTATCTAAAAGAGAGACTATAACGTTATCAATAGTTATAGTGAACATCTCTGGACGCTCCGGTCGGTGGTTGCTGAGGAACATACAGGGAGCCACGGTCGTGAATCTACGCTAGACTGGGGACTGCTCGTTTCGTGGGGAAACACTGTGCTAATGATCGATGTAATCCCATCTGATGGCCATTACAGAGGGTACAACCCTTGGTTTGAGGGGACGATAGGCAGAAGGGTTGTGACTATTATTCTGTTTGTGGATTTTTCATGTTTCATGCGCTCTCTACTTGTATTTAGTCTACGACTGGATTAGTCGAGAGCAAGCACGGAAACTTCCCTTCTTCCATACACCACACGTTTTTTCAGTAGAAACAAAGACCATTTCCCAAGAAACAAGATACCATTATTTCTAAAAAATACAAGCAGAAACTCCATGGAAAGAAAACACCAAAGGCACAATGCCCACAAGGCCAGGGGGTGCCTCAAGCACAGAAATCAGACGTGGGGGGCTCCAATAACCAACCTCAGCCGATTCGTTTTCGCATTGGCGTCCCCAGTGAGCGGCATTCCCAATTGATTGAGAACGTCATCTACACCCTGATCTAGTAGCTTTTAGTATTCACTCACATACCATATTAACTTGAATTAACTCAAAAAATTGGGTATCTCCGCACAGGGTTCCAATCACCGTGTTAAGACGTCAGGACCCTAATAAAGCCTAGTATTGGGCAAAAGAGGAATGGAGTAATAGTGTCCACCATAGTTTAATAGCCTTGTACTAGTACAGTACGGTGGTAGGGGTTTTTGGAATTTCTCCATTCTTTTTGTGTTTAGTACAGTACTAGGCTTTCTGAGGGTTAGTCCCGTTGATGCGGAGATTAGAGCCTTGTCCGGAGATACTCAATTTTCGGAGTTGCCAGTAATGTGGTAGAACGATTAACAATAAGGACTTTACTCGTGCTTCTCAGCCAAGATTTGGCACCCCATTTGTCCTAGTGTGTGGCACAAGTCCTCGTCCGCAGAAGGGGTATAGCTTTCGAATAGTGTGTAGCTAGTTCTAAGCTAAACTCTTCTGAGGGAATCACCGGAGCCGAATGCCGTAAGTTGGGAAAAAAACAGAGAGTTAGGTGGCCCAGGTGATGGTATAGCTGTGCACCATTGGCATGCTATACCGCTTCAGTGGAAAAGAACTGGTGCCACCCGCTAGGGCAAACCGGGTGCCAAATCTTGGCTGAGAAACACGAGTACGATTTCTCATCCAGAGTCAAATCCTACTTGCAGGGATCTGGTTGGTCTAGAACCTCACTTGCCTCACGTTCGGAGTCTTTTCGCAAAGTCTCCAATGTCAATGTGGTGACGCTGTAACACATGGATGTAGACGATGTGTTCAAAATCACATGTTTAATCATCTGAGCGCTTGAATCCTATTCAATCCCATATTTTCTACTTTAGCGTGGCTAGTTGCGGTCTGGTAAGGCTCTGTTTGGCGGGAACGGAACCGTTGGAGATTGTTCCATTTTCTCATACAAAACGACCATTATGAAACGAAAGGGCAAGAAAGTTTGTACTCGTATGGGGAATGGAACAGAATGGACGCGAACGGTCGTATCCAAACATACCCCTACGTAAGATTCAGGTCAGCTTCTTTCAATGCGCTACGTTCCCATCTCAACAACCTCCTCACTACAGGTACTTCATTGGCTCACTGTCACCAACAACAAATGGCACCCACACACCCCCATCAGCCTTCCCCGGCCTTCGGCCTTCATTGGAAATCCAACCTTTTTGGTCCTGTGCCAGCTTGGACGGCAACCCCGAACATCGCCACAATCGAGGCACTGTCACGACAACACCTTCGTGCGGAAGACCTTTCCGTAAAATTCCTCGCAGGAGGGGCGTTTAACAAAGTCTATTTAATCACGGTCTCCTCAAACACAATCAAGGACCCGAAGTCCTACATCTTCCGCGCAACGCTCCCGGTCGAACCGTTCTACAAGACTGCCAGCGAGGTTGCCACTCTCCGACTATTGCGGCAATGTACCTCACTACCAGTTCCAGAGGTATTCGCCTACGATTGCACGACCGAAAACGAGTTGGGTTTTGAATGGATCATTATGGCGAAAATCCCAGGAGTCTGCCTGGGGGAGGTCTGGCGCGATCTGAGCCTCGAGAGAAAGACGATTGTTGTTGAGCGCTTGGGGCAGCTCTCGAAGGAACTCCGTGGGAAGTGCAGATTCGATGCCGTCGGGAGTTTGTATCACCGTGCCGAGCTCAGCGAAGCTGACTTGAAGGTCGCTGTGGCTACTGATAACAGCAATTTTGTGATCGGTCCGATAGTAAACTCTTTTATTTTCGCTGGAAAGAGGAAGCTACTGATAAAGAGGGATCGCGGGCCTTATCACAGCGACCGGGAATACTTACTTGCATTAATGAAAGTGGAACTGGAAGATAAGAAACTTCTCCTAAAACTGATTTCTGGTAAGTATGACAAATCAAATGGATTGGCTACAATAAAGTAACGAGATGTTAGATAAACATGCGGCTGGCGTTCGAATGGCGCATTCGGATGACGAAGATTCAGAGAGCGATGAAGATCTTGCCGAGGATGTGCCAGAGATTGAGGATACCATCCAACGGCTCCGGGGAATTCTCACTTCCCTTTTCTCCGACGACATGCAAACAAAGGAATTCGCGCTGCGTCACCACGACCTTAATCGCTCAAATATCATGGTTGACCGCACAACGCTGGAGATAACCGGGATCGTTGATTGGGAATGTATTACCACTGTCCCAGCTTGGGAAGACACCTATCCCCAAATGCTACAGGGAGGAGATATGGAGGAACAACCGGAGCCTTTGGCATTTGGGGACACTGATGAGTGCCGCGTTGAGAGATGGGAGAAATGGGAGAAGACAAAGCTGAGAAAAGTCTTTGATCAGGCTGCGGGTTCGGGTGCAAACAATGATAAAGATGGATGGGATAAGCGTGGCGTCAGAGAGCAACTTGATTTGCTTGAATTTTCGACTAAGATGGTGAAGAACTGGATTATTGGGTATGAGAAGCGAGTGTGTGTGCAATGCTGATGAGCGCAGTTTTGCCATCATTATTTTGCTTTCCTAGGAGCATTGGCCTTTGTACTATAGTTTCATACCGTTGAAAATGCAGCTCGGCGTGTTCCCGTCTATTTGTTTCTTTTGTTCTTTGGAGGTGCGCGCGTTTAGGAAGGAAAGCTTCGTGGCTATGGGAAAGGATGTGGGACATGGTTCTTGCTTTGCGGTCAAAGATAGAGGAAAGCAGGTGTTATGGAGAAGCATTTATTTTGTTCGGGAATTATGCAGAATGTTTCCTTTATCATCAGAGGGAGGATTGGCAGAAGGAGGTGGACATCAACGGTAATGGAGAGAAGGTTCAGAATGATGGTATGTTTTTCATATATACTCCTGTCACTACCGTTAGTTTGGGAAGTAAGACGAATACAAAAAAGGCCACTTGCTATCCTCCCCGACTATCCTCTCTCATTGCGGTGCCTTATTTGTTATTCTGTTTACTACATACGATACCCAGCTGGTGAGCTTTCGGAGCCGTCACATATATCTATAGTTAAAGGGATGTTGACTGATGATAATGCTCACTTGATGGTTCTCAGAGTAGCATGTGGGGTAACCTTATTGTGCAATTCAGACAAGTGTTAATGGTGTGCCTTCTTCAACACTCTGAGTAGGTGGCAATGGGTTCTGGTATCCTAAATTGCTGTTTTTCCAGTAATTGGGAGGTTTTTCTCATCACCCCTCTTTTGATTCAAGTTATATGATAGAAACTTTGAACAGTACCCTTGTAACAACTCAAGATCTTTCCAATTTCTCAAAAAAGAATGCTTTTTTTTCCTCAGTGCAATAACTTTCCCTTTCTTAAAGTCTGTGAGATGGCCAGTCTTCTTTAGAGGCATGGTTGCTGAGGGGTGATTTATCTTTGAAGTCGGGTTTTATGAGGTGGTGCCCAGTTGCCACTGATTGGACGAAAGGTTTTGTCCTAGTACTTTACATAAATTTGGTGGCCGCTTTTGTGCCCACTCACACCTCACTGAGGTGATCCCAGATGTAGTCGATTGTGCAGTACTGTGGTTGGGTATCCTGCTGGAGCTGGGGAGCTGGGGCAGTTGTCGGTTTGCGTAGCGAAGTTAAGACATCGTGCAGTATCGTTATTCGGTGATGCTTGACCCACTGGCCTGGGCGTGTATCCAAGAAACAAGGTTGATATTAGTGCTCTGAACAGTTTAGTCCATACTTTGGTTTATACAAAAATTCCCTAGCTCAAATATAGGAAAGGCTCAAAGCCCTCTAGGTTCCGCAGAGTGTGGTAGATGTGCAGTGAAGTTTTGGATCGGGTGATGATCTACTTGTACCCTACAGGCCAATAGTTTCAACACCAATGGGCATTATCACTAGTTTTCTTGAGGCTTTTTCAAGTGTATCCCTCCTTATTCATGGCTGCCTGGCTATACTCGAGCACGTTCTTCCTCTCTGGGGCCCTTGTAATACCCCTTTGTGTGCATACTAATTCGGTAGCGCCCTAGTTCAGCTGAATGTACTTTATTGCAGCTTGTGAGTGGTCCGGATTTCTATCCTCACCCTCCTTGTTCACGATTTATTAACCCCAGGCAGTAGTTTTGCATCTAGGATGCACAAGATTTGCACAGATGCTCATCCCAGGCATGGCCGTCTCGTACCCACACCGTTGGTACCACACCAGATAACGCGCAGTTGCCGGGTATCCGCATAATGCGGATGAGATATGGGAATCTGGCTTTGGCCCCAGCACAAAGAGTACTCTGTCTTTAGCCTCATCCTTTTCATCATAAATTGACCCGGCACGTCCTATTCTGTAATTCCATGATTTCGTTTCTACTACTTGAGGTCACGGTATGGTGTGAGGTTGATTAAGGTTTTGCTCTTTTCCCAGGCTGGTTGTTTTCTTTTTTTGATTTCAAGAGCCCAGCACTATACAGAAAGGATTGTCCATCGCATCATATTCTCATCCCACCACATTTCCCTCAACAACCAACCAATCGATCAACAAAGGCACGCCATAAACCTTCCCCTCCAAACTCGACGTTAGCATATGGCCCATCTAGGGACATTGGCATGTTTTGCGAGAATTCCGGCGAGGATGGAAAATGGGGCCGCTGGAATGAGAGCAAACCACCTTAATGCCTCGGGTGTCTATGATTTCGATTTCTGTAGGGAATCTGATCTCACCCTTGGCGCCAGGACCGAGACCCGTTTGGCACCTGCAGCTGAAGCCCCATGAGCGCGCTCGCTTCTCCCTCGAGGTGGCGATATTATGGTATGGGCTACAACTTATTGAGTAGAGCTTGACACTGGCGACTACATGTGGTGTCGAGAGGTAGCGAGGCTTGCGCGATGTGCTAGGGACTACATTTTTGCCCATGAGAGTCTCTGGGTCCAAGCCGAGTTGTCCACTGTTGAGACGGCCCCAGACTAGAAGATCACTTGTCCTTAATCACAGCGGCTGAATGATGTTCTCCAGTCAATGCTTGAACAATCTTGTACCCGTTAAAGCTTTGGACGACGGTGGGAATGGGAATTGCGACATTGTCTTCCCCAGCATGTTGGGGATCGTATATCCTATATTGCGCATATTGATTTAGTCCTCACACACAGACTAACCCGTCTTTAGTAACAGCAAAGGAGCAGTAGGGGGTGGTAGCGGCGCACTTGATGCGACGCCAAGGAAAGCCCAGCTCGAGAGGTGAACCCATTGTGTTGGGTTCTGGTGAGGACACATCTCTGGAGTTGAGATTGCCGACCATTGCCCCATGCATAGCCGCTTCCTTCCCTCATAAGGCCGACGGCATGATCAGTGCCAACGCTAACCTGAACAATATTCTTGAGTGTAGATAGTAGGACTGGGATGATTTGTGCACGGGTCTTCTTATTGAGCCTGAAAATACTGTCAGAACACTAAACAATAAATCATCAACATATTGTAAACCCAAATGAAGAACTGATCCCATACTCTAAACGATCACCGCTCATAAACCTTGCGGGTATCTGTAATAGCGATCAAAACGATATTACAGGCGGAGTTGTTTGTAATCACAGTCCCCTGTACGAATGTTGAAACAAGCATTAGTGTGATTTGCAATGGATTCAAAGTTTCTTCGCTATCATCACCAGAACCCACATCTCGCATAGGAGGTGGAGTAGACTATGTGAGGGCTCAGTGAGCCGGCGCTTGGCGGATGTTTTGCGCGTAGATTTCGTTGATTCTTTCCGGACTCGTGCCAATCCTGAATGAGGGTGTTGCGTCGCTGAGCCCTCGGAGTCTACTTTCTTTCCCTCCCAAAAACATAAAGGTCATTACCTCGCTTCGCGCGTTCAAGTCATGGGGTTGTTTGCTTGCATTCCCGAGGTTCCGTATACGGCGGGTCAAACGGACCAAGAGTTCCATTCACAAGAATTTACATTACCCTAGCAGGCTATACCGAGTGATATGCCGTGATATCCCACTATTCATGCTAGCCTGCCTAGCTGACTGACATGCCTAACGCGAATACACCCCCCGAGGCCCACAATACATTGAGCCAGAGCCGATACGCCTGTAGGGGATACACTCTGATTGTAGCTCATTCATCATAATACCGAGAGTACAAAGTGCAAACCTTAGCGGATCGACCCCGCTTGCCCAGGTCCTGATTTATGATCCGAATCCTGACCCACCACACAATTAGATTCCGGCATCCCCCCAAAGTGAAGTCGGCCCCCCTCAGTCAATCCCCCTTCATCAAAAAACCTTAACCTTGAACCGGTCTAGGGCGATTATAATAAATCATTGTTGCGCTTATCTAATCTGACCGCGGGCGTTTATGTACGCTGGGCGCTAACCAAAAGTGGACGAAAGACTGTTGGGTGAGAATATTAGACCAATATACCCCACTTACACGTCACTGACTTGGTTCCTTCATTGATAATTGCTGATTTCGAGGTATCTCGTCAAGGGAGGTTTCCGGGAAATGTACAGTAGGTTATTAACTGGGAGCTCGGGGAAGCCTACTCGCAAGGGCATAGTATTTCGGTGTTCTCCCCACAACCAACCGGGGTCACGAGAGGTCATAAACCTGCTGGGACCGGATAGCACCAGCCCAGGATGTTGGCATTGAAACAGACTATAGGGGGATACCGATGATACCTGATGATACGTAAATTAGTAAATTTAAATTAGTGGTATTTGGAGTCATAATGGTGGAATATTTCTTGCCTTTCATCGCTTTATCATTTCTCTCATATCTCTGTCTTAACCAACACTGTCTGTGAAATGCACTTGCACTTTTGCATTCATTTCAGATCATGCGAATATATGCATTTCCTTCGTGGTTCTTCGAGACGATATGAATCCTTGCTCATCTTCTTCTAGCTCTCGCCGAATATACTAGTGCTGATACCACCTGCCCTGTATATTTCGCGAAATGGAATAAATTAGTGGCTGTTGTCACGAAACTTTGTTAAATCTCCTTGAATAAGACCTGTGGAAGTCCCCCGCGGCATCACTGCGCCTCCTTGCTCGCACTAGTCGTCATTTCCGCTCCTACTCTGTTAACACTTCTTGATTAAGAATAAATTCCCCATTAAGCTTTCCGCACGTAATCACAAAAACCCTTTGAAAACCCCCTTCTAGTGGCGATACTTTCCCGACGATCCGGCGGGGTAACTGCTGTTGTTCTACGGTTTCACGTGAAACCGGTCCTACCATACGCATTTGCAACCTCCCAAACACGTGATTTACATTGAATTTCTATGTTGTAGAACTTTGGACACTTTCTGCGATACCGCAACACAAACCCAGGGGAAGGTTGGTTATCAATACCGATGACCCGGCTCCAAATCACAAAACCCTACATAAGTATCTTCTAGTGCCCTTAGACCAAACCCGCACCCTCATTTACGACTCCACCGCCAAGAAGCCATCCACATAAATCATCATCGATTGCAACACCACACTCGCCCCTTCCCTTCCCAGAGCTGTGAGGTCTATAGGGTCGCAAGGCCCTAAGGAAACTGAGGGA